TCAAGTAAGAGTCTGACACTACCGCCCGCCTAACCCAGGCGGGAGCAGTCATTCGATGATTTTCCCCCTGATGTGACTCCAGACGTGTTCTGAAGAAACTAAGCAAACGTGGGTTAACCTCTTATCTGCCGGCTGTGCGACACAATAGAAAACCCATCGTGTCTCGCTTATAAGTATCTTCGTTCATACACTTCATGGGTTTAGACACCTTTCAGTTAGATAGAGTAATGACACCCGCAAGGTGGCTGACGTACTGACAGTCGTTGGATACAATGAGTTCAAGTTCGAGATCAGTGGGGTACTACGTATGTGGAGACTTACTGACCTAGGTATGTCTCGCATTGGTCGAGTTGACGATGATGAGGTAAATCGTAATTCGTCATGTCTTTTGATTATTACGTGGGTAGGTAATCAGGGGCGTTTCGAGCCCATGACGCGACAGGGTGAAATCAAATGATAGGTATAACCTCTTTTTCTATCAAACTGTAAAAAAAATCCCGTTGACAATTTTTTATATTCCACGACCTCACAGAAAACCTACGTGAAGCAACGTTTGCGTTGTGTGCGTGAGGTTACCGGAGGCCCAATTACCCCCCTCCCCTTCCCCAATCTCCCCAATCCCTGAATCGCCAACGATCCTCAATCTCTTAATCGCCAAAAGGCCGGCAACGCACTTGTAACGCTTCTGGTGTTCTAAGTGTCCATGGGCGACGCCCATTGCTTACCATCAGGTAATCCGTCCGCCAGTTTAACGGCTTATGCCATTAAACAAATTTATAACACACACACATAGACCAAAACACATAAGATACATTAATTAGGCTTTTAGTAAGCGTTTTTTTCTTCTATTCATAACGACAATTATTTAACCCGTTCCATGTTTTCAATAAAGGTCACGTGTGAGACGGGTTTTGAGTTGGTTTCCGTGATCCCACGAATTATTTGTATTTTGGACGAAGTATATCAGTTCACACGTTCGACTCCGAAGGCATTAGACCTCTGTACTGACATAATTAGATAATATATTATTTACGTAATATTTTTGACGATGTTTTAAATAGATCGCGATAGAGCTTCGATATTTTGTGACGTAAGGAAAAATGGACTTTTTAAAAGTAGTGATTTATCTTTTAAATGTTTAAAATAAAAATAGTGGATATTTTTTTGTAAATATTAAGTCGGTAAACAGAACCCAGGTAAGGGGTAGTATTTAGCGATAATGATTTTTTTGTAAGTCTAATACCTCTTTACACGAGCAATTTTTGTATTTGCCTACACATACAGGGTGGAATTTTGTAATGCCACATGAAAGGGAAGTACTCTATTGTATTCAAAGAAAACACTCCTTTATTTTCGAAAAGAAAGATACAGCATTCGAAGTTTTTTAAAAATTCGCTTACCGCACCCGGTAATCGAACCGACTAAAATCTGTAAAAGTCGCACCCTGTACTTTTATTGCATCGATCGTCAGGGTTAGTAATGATTATTTGTAGGAATATGTAAAAATCAAATTTACATTAAATCTTATGAGAATGTAAACGAGTTGAGAGTTGAAGTTCACTACGAGATAACTAACAATCGATGCAATAAAAGTACAAGGTGCAACTTTTCCAAATATTTGTCGGTTCGATTACCGTGAGCGGCAAACTAATTTAAAAAATTCTTAAAAAGCAGTTCTCTTTCTTTTCATAAATAAAAAAATGTTTTCTTTGAGTATTTCTTACCTAAAATATTAAGACTACTTCCCCTTTAGGTGACATTACAAAATTCCACCCTGTATTAACGATCTCGGAAACGTGTCAATGGATTTTCTTGAAATTCTGTAAATCGATCTAGCTAGGTTTCACTTTCAGAAAATGTCGTTTTGTTTATGTTTTCATTGAATAAAAATCCTTACTAGAATACGAAATCTTTCGACATTATTATTCAAGTTAAAATAGCTCAGTAGGAAAGACGGATGCCATTCGAGTTCAACCGTTGGTCTGAATGTTTTCTGTTTTGCATTATACTTATCTTTTTCAATCTATTTGATTTTTCAGTTTTTGTTCTACTTATTTCTAATGTTTTCCTTTTTTTTTCTAAAGCAAAGCTCGGTCATCTAATTGATGACGTTATCTCTATTACTTATGTGCTTCGGAAAATATTACAGATTTTTTTGAAGGATTTGGTACGTTTTCTATTAATATTTTTTTTCTGGAATTTAAATACTCTTTTATACTCTTAAATAATTATTTAGTGATATGGCCATACGTAGAAAACAGTGTGTTTTTAAAATAGTAGATACATAGGTAAATCGCTTGATGTTTCCTTGCATGCGTTGACTTGATTTCAGAAAGGTCAAAAGCTATAATATATGTACCTGTTGCACGAGCAATACAAAACTGCATCAATTCTATTATATAAAATAAGTATATTATTTTTAGTCTCTAGGTACCTACATGATTTTATTTTCTTTTATACACAAGAATTAATGTTGTGTCTGCCAAAACTTCTTCATTTTAGTAATCGCATACCTACCTAGATTAATATTTAGTGCAAAAAAATTGTAATTCCCACTCTTAGCCCAAAAGCTACGAGTAGAACGATACCTACATCAATTTAGTTACTAAAATTCTATTACACAATCTTTAATTAAATGAGATAGTAATAATTTTACATTTAATAGCCATATTTATACATTTAATATCATGGATGTCTTGGATACAAGAAACGGTTTTTCCAATACGCAAATCTGGTATAAAGAAGTATTTATTCGAATGACGCATGGAGATCAATTTTTATTCGATTATGGGCCATAAATCTATTCAACCGGATTGTTTTTACCTATTAGATCATTGACCTGCCCTATTAAGTAACTCTGTTTCGCGTTCGTTTTAACTCAAGTTATTTGAGGTTGAGGTAAGTATTTGTTTTTTATGTTTTAATTTTTCCCGGTCAGGTGTTAACTAAGTAGGTACCTAGTACCTGGATGACCGAACTTTGCTCAGCCTTTTATTTCAGTGCACGACATTTTCTTAAAATGAAACCTAGCCAGGATTTAGCGCCTCCGAAATCCCCTAAATACAAAACATTATGCATACATTATGCAGGGACTGCTCGTTTAAAGTTATTAGATAAGAGAATAATGAATTATACCTCGTGTGTTCATAATTTTTGAGACAAATTAAAAGTTGCATATCTTTTTAAATAATAAACTTATATTTATAAAAACAATAACAAACATTAAGTAGGTAGATAGTAAGTAAAAATTAAATATAATTATTGTTCAAAATGACCACCCCTGTTTTTAATACATGCCCGATTTATTAGACGATTTGGCCAGTCATCAATGGCGGCACGAATCTTTTCCAGAGGAATTCGCTTCGCTTCTCGGACAAGAGCTCGCTTAAGTGACTCCAAGTTTGGGTGGGACTTTCGGCAGGCTCTGAGCTCTAATTCGGTCCATAGAGAATAATCCAGCGGGTTGAGGTCAGGGCTGGAGGAGGGCCATTCGTTCGCCGCAATGAAGGCCGGCACATTTTCCTTCAGCCAAGCTTGGGTGGTTTTAGCCTTATGGGATGGCGCCGAGTCTTGCTGGAAAACCCAATACTTGTTATGGAATAGGGTATTAGACAGGGGTTTCACAACAGTCTCTAGAATGTCACTTTGATAATTTTTGGCTTTCACCTTGACGCCTTGTTGGCAGAAATGAAGCTGAGTGACACCTTCGTACGAAACTCCCCACCATGCCATGACACTAGCCGGATGATGAGTACGCGAGACATTCCGTGCTGAAGGTGGGACATCCTTGCTACTTTTGGCATACACTTTATTGTTTTGTCGATTGAACTTTTCTTCGACGGTAAAGATTTTCTCGTCGGTGAAGAGTATCTTCCTCGCATCGTGTCTCCTAAGCAGTATTGGACAACGTTCGCGTCGCAATTGACAAAGGCGATCGTTTAAAAAGTGTACTTTTCTACGGCTATACGCCTTAACCTTGAGATCATATTTCAGTATTCTGTTGACTGAAACGCGCGAAATATTGGTCTGCAGAGCGAGTTTCTTCTGAGTGCGACATGGATTTCGGCGAAGTCGCTCTCGGATAATTTTAATGTTCGCAGGCGTCCTCACAGAGCGTGGACGACCACTTCTTTGCCGATCATGTAAAGAACTTGTGTCCTGGTATCGTTTAATAGTGTAATACACGAAGTTACGGCTCACACCAAAACTTTTCAGTTCTCGGAAAATGTCCATAGGTTTTCTTCCCACCTTCCCATAATGAAATGACGGTCGCACGTAATTCTATTGTTCCCTCCATTACGAGAAAATTTAAATAAAATAATCCGAAATCATAGATATTAAAAGTTAACATTCCAAATTCAAAATTAGAAAAAGAAATATACAGCAGCCAGTAATTTTTATTTTATTTTTATAAGCAAAAAGTTTGTCTCAAAACTTATGAACACACGAGGTATTAATGTTAGCGTCTACCAGTGACTTTACTGATGTTACCATCGGTAACTTACCTGATTTGTGAATCAGGAATTATCAATTGAATGAGTTCTCTAGCAACTAAATCTAAGCTTACTAGCCTCCGGTCCGCCGGTGGCCCGTGTTGCTCTATGTTACTAGCTAACGAGCTAAATGTTCATAATAGATACCTACATTCGACATTTTATTGCAAAGAGATATTTATGTCTAGACTTTAAGGATTTCCCTATAAATCTAAATTTGTCTAAGATTGTTTAGCGTAGAATCAAGTTTACAACTCTGTTAGATACTATTATTGAAACTGAATCACCTTTTTGACATTTAGCTTGGTGTTTAGCAGATTAACAGGCTGTCTGACATTAATTGGAACGCAGATAGACAATTATGTATATCTCGTACCTCGTGTCTATGTTTTGATTTGTAAAATTGTGTTTTGCATATCTTAAAGCTTACAACATTATTTTACTTTAGGTACTTGGCATTTGCATCGACAAGAATTATTTAATAATTATTTTTAAAATTAAGTATGACTAATGCAAAATTGCACTGAATTATTTATTTTTGCAACTATTATTCTAGCATATTGTAGTATCGTATCGTAGTTGAGTATATTAATCCATCACAACATCCGCGTACACACAAAACCTGTTATTTTTTATTATCTTTAATTAAAAGGTTGTTTCTTTTTTTTCAGGATGAATCTTCTAAGCCAGTTGATGTCTATGTTGAATCCGAGAACGGCTCGACCACTGATCAATTTGTTGCAATATTTCTTCAGTGCAATAACCGTATTGGATTTGAATTCTGACGATTTCCCACCACAGGCTCAAGTGTCAGGTTCGTATATGTTTTCTTCTAGGTATTTATTACTAGACTCTACATAAGAGGGGATTGTCATACACTCCACGCTTTTCATCCGGGTTGGAGATCGCAATCGGATAAATATCGTGATATTTATTTTCAAATTTTTTGTGCTTGGAAAGATAATCAAACAGACCAGCACAAAAGTTGTTACACGCTAGTTTTCTGTAATACATTGCCTCTGCCACGTAATTAATCCATTAATCCATGTTGCATTTTTTGTTTTTTTTTTTTCTTTTCAGATGGTCAAGTCTTCGATTTCATAATAATAGGAGGTGGATCAGCAGGATGCGTTCTTGCCAACAGATTAACAGAGATAAGTGGCTGGAATGTCCTTCTAATAGAAGCAGGGGGAAATCCGCCACCGACATCTAAGGTAATAATAATTTCTTAGATATCCGTGTTAAATTCCATGCATAATAAATAATTAGTTTGGTAGGTATAAATGTGAGTTAGGTCAGCACGCGTCCAACAAAAAAGAAATATACCGGTGTCGGGTCGGTGTCGTTATAAGAAGTTATAACAGAGTTTTTACGATATTTATACGTTTGTATCTGCTTTTGTTGTGTTTTTTAATTTGATATAAGATATTTATTAGTTTATACTTGATAAGTTGATATCCATTTTGCTATATAGACAATTTGACTATTTTTTTAAATTTACGACCGATTTATTATTCCATTACAGCATCCCGGCTTTTTCCTGTTCGTTGATTACTCTGACGCTGATTGGAACTATTACACTGTCAACGATGGTTATTCTAGTCAAGGACTTCAAAAGAAAAGTGTCCATCTTACAAGAGGCAAGATGCTGGGTGGGTCAAGTGGAGCCAACTACATGTTCTACGTTAGAGGTAATAAACATGACTATGACAACTGGGTAGCCCAAGGCAACGAAGGATGGGACTGGGACACAGTCATGTATTACTTCAAAAAAAGCGAACGACTCCAAGACAATGAAATCATGCAAACAGAAAACAGATACTTTCACAATACTAGAGGGCAATTAGGAGTAACTAGACCTCTATGGACGAAGAGAACGCAAAAGTATCTACGAGCCTTCCAACAAAATGGTCACAATCTTATTCAAGACTGTAATTCCGATGAACAGTTAGGATACTCTATGCCATCATACACAATCGACAATAATGTACGACAACATACCGCCACGGCCTTTATCGAACCGATCAAAAATCGAAAAAATCTATTTGTTTTAAGAAATACTTTAGCCAGGAAAATAATGTTCAATGGTTATAGGAAAGCTGTTGGAGTACAAGTTAAACTACCAAATAATAGAATTATAAATGTATTGGCTAGGCGAGAAGTTATTTTGTCAGCCGGTGCCATTAACAGCCCACAACTATTGATGTTGTCAGGTATAGGGCCAAGTAATCACTTACAAAAGTTTGGAATTGAAGTGTTACACGATTCACCAGGTGTTGGAAGTCACCTGGAGGATCATCCTGTGGTCCTCGTCCCTATTGCCGTGGAAAAGGAGCCCGCATCTGTTATAGATAATATAGATTTATTAACTAATCTGGATAAATTCCCTACGCCTTGTATCATGGGGCATGTGACTTTAAATAAGTCACAATCATACCCAGACTACCAAACTTCAATATTCCCTCTACCAGCCTATTCACCAATCACGTCATTAATTTGCTCGTATGTTTATAGATTAGATGACGAAGTATGTTTGGCTCTAACAGAGGCTAATAAAGACAGACGACTTCTGTTCCCTATTCTATCATTACTTCATCCTGAATCTAAAGGTAGAGTGCGACTTAAGAGTCCCGATCCGGAAGTGAGTCCTTTAATATATAACGGTTATTATTCGAATAAAATAGATATCGAGAATCACGCACGTTATGTAGAAGATTACATAAGTGTGGTGAATACGCCATATTTTAAAAGTATTGGTGCTGAAGTTGTGAACCTAAGGCTACCTCAGTGTAAGACGTTACCATTTGGTAGTCATGAGTATTGGAAATGTTTTGTTTTAAATACTGCGACGACGCAGTGGCATCCTGCAGGGTCTTGTGCAATGGGTCCCGAAGGAAGAGGTGTAGTGGATGAAAGGTTACGCGTCAGAGGTGTCGCTGGTCTTCGAGTTGTAGATGCCAGTGTTATGCCTTCTATAACAAGTGGGAACCTAAATGCACCAACGATTATGATTGCCGAAAAAGCATCCGACATGATAAAGGCTGATAATGGAATAAATCCTTTTGAATAAACTATGTGGTTTTATTTTTATGTTAGTAGGTACCTACATACCTATTTAAGTATTTTATTTTATAACACCTTACAACATGATATCTTACAGTTTATTCCAATGCAATATCATATTTCCTGACATATTTAAGTCCAACATGTAACTTAATTAATAAAACTTTAACCTTTATTAATAAACTTTAAGTAGGTAGTTGCTTACCTTCTTTACCTACACACTAATCACGAATATATAGGTACATCTACTCACACAATCTATTACCTACCAACTGGTAGCACAACCAAAACCCAATTTAGCAGATTTGGTTTGCTGACTTTCTTTTTTTTCTGTTCGTTCTATTAAATCCTTTTATGCACAAACACTGACGTAAACCATTTACCAAAAGATCCGTTAATAATTTAACAACAAACAACAAACAACCAACAAGAAACAAGATTTTCAAGTTTTTAGATACTTCCCGCCTATTTTTATTTAGCTATCTGTCACGTAAGTTGATAAATTGTATATTTTATAATACACTATGGTTGCAATTTGTAATTTGATATTAGGCTTTTAAGAATCAGTAGTATCACTGATACTACTTCCATTGGCAAATACGAGTGACACGACGGGGGAAAAGCCAGTACTTATAAAGTTTTTGTTATAATAGAGATCAATAATTGCATTTATTATATCATATTATCGGTAATAATTAATAGTAAACCTTTTTTGTTGTCATAGACAAACTATTATTAACATTTTTAGTCTATGGCATGGGAATGACGTTTACGTTTGCTGTGCTACTTGCTGCTTGTCAAAAGTTACAAACAATCCTATTTTGTACTTTTCGCTCGTTAGTTATTCGTAAATAAATAATCAACATTAGATAAATAATGATTAATTAGATAGAAAGTAACTTTGTTAATATAAGTGTAGTGCTAAGGAATACGTCAATACATTAATTTGTAAACATAATTCAGCAAAATGACGAACCTTGATGTAAGTAATAAATTGTATTGGAGTTTTACATAATTTATGAGAAAAGAAATTGTGTACAATTCATTACATTAATACCTTTGACTAAGTAGAGTGTTGTATTATTGGTTTCACCAAGAATATTGTCACATTTGGCGACATTATATTTTGTTAAATATCAATATACAATTTGGTTATTCTGTGGGTATTTATTGAAGTTTATCCAACATTACTTCTGGATACACCAATTATCTTAATTATGAAATGCATTTGTAACAAATTAAATCTAAAGAGAAACATTTGTGACAGCATTCTGCCTAGTAGAGGATAACTACTGTCAATTTTATTATTGTTTATTGAGCTTTTAAAATGAAACCTTTCATTTACATTTTCAGGTAAGTAACAGTAGTACAGACAGTAGTTCCGGCTCTTCTTCGGACTCAAGTAGTAGTGGCAGTACCTCCACAAGCTCAGGGTCCGCTTCCAGCAGTTCAGATTCAGATTCATCAACTTCGGACACTCCAGCAACTACCACAACTAACACAACTCCCGCACCAAAATCCCCAGTGAAAATTGAAGAGGTTAAAAAGAAAGAAGAACCGAAACCAAGAAGGCCTTCAAAAGCGAAAGTTTCTTCATCCAGTGATGATGAAGCACCTAAACCGACAAGTCCAAAAGCCGCTCCACCCAGAAGACGAATTTCTGCTAAACCGAAAGCAGCAGCTGCAGTATTAGCTAAAGGAAAGACTGCTCAAAGAATGTCTTCTGGAGCTAAAACTCCTAAACCAATACCAAAAACAATACAGAAGGCTCTACCAAAGCCTGACACAGGCGCGCTAAAGAAAAAGAGTATTTTCTCACCAGACAACAGTTCAGAATCTGAATCCGAGAGCAAATCATCTACAACTAAAAGTCCAAAAACTTCACCGAGACCGAAACGTAGTTCTAGAAAGTCTAGTGATGAAAAGGATACGTCACCACCAACAACTCGGAACAATAGTGCAGACAATGATGATTCTAATTCAAAATCGGACTCTAATAGTAAGCGTAAAAGTGTGAATCGTTCAAGTGGGCCTCCACCTAAGAAAAGCATTGAGGACAAGAGTGCATCGTCATGTAGTTCCAGTCAATCTTCCGCTGAATCCATTTCGTCAGATAGTGACAGTGAACCGACACCCAAAAAGGAACCATTAAAGACTGGGAAGACAAAACCTCCAGCTACTAAGGTTTGTGTTATTGTAAATGTACTAGTTATCTAATTTTATTTCCTTATGTTTCATTTTATTCTTTAGCTTCATAACTTCTTAATGTACGATTATCAAAAATCCTCAACATTTGTTGATACAAAAAGTAGTATCTTAAACATTGGAAATAAAGTCTATAATGGTGTAAGTGGAGAGCGGTTACCGGTGACCGCTTGGATATTGACCACTATGTGGTGAATTATTAAGGACTTAAGGACTAATTTTCCTTGTAGATGGTGTGATTTTTCCTTCTGTAGATGGACATCTACCTACATTACAAAGCCTACTTTTTCTTATGTAATTTTTTCTACAAAACATTCTAAAGTCTTCATAAAGAACTACCCACATTTCAAACTAGTTAATCAATATAATTATTATCACCTACTTCCGCGCGATTACACCAGTTCTGCTGGACTTCTATTGCTCATAAAGTGATGTTTTATTACCTACAACCATCCTTGATAAATGCACTATCCAACACAAAAAGAATTGGGTGCCAATGTGTATGTAAACATGTATGTTTATAAATATGTTTATATGACTACCGTTGGCGCGGTGGCTGGGCAACCGGTCTCCTCGCAACGTGAAGCGGGTTCGATTCCCGCACGGATCAACTCTTTGTGTCATCCACAATTTGTTGTTTTGGGTCTGGGTGTCATGTGTATGTGATTTATATATTATTATGTTTGTAAAAGCACCCACAACACAGGATAAAATCCTAGAGTGGAGCAATATTTAAAAAAAGACGTGCACCTACGACACAGGAGAAGATTGCAATGCGGGGCGACTTTAAAAAAAATTAAAATAAAGCAGTTATTGAAATCAGACCAGGAGTTCCCAAACAAACTAACTCTCCACCTTTATATAATAGTATAAGATATAAGATTACATACTTAATAATGAATTCATTAGTGTCATTGTAATTACACACTTAAGTTAAATTATGTCATGAGTTTTTAAGATCTTGAAACAACAATAATACATGGTTAATATTTCCATTTTCCAGGAGATAAGAGATCAAGCGGCGAAGAGTGGTGATTCTGGTGATTCAGCGGTGGCCACAATGCCAAGGAAGTTAACACGGTCACTGTCAGCAAGAGTGTCGAGATTAGCCACTGTGTCACGAAGAACAAATAACACGGACACTGATTCGGATGAGGAGAAAAGCAATGATAAGACGTAAGTTGGGGACGCATTAATGTAAATTAGTTAAGGGTATTTCATTGATTTTGACTGCACGGTTGGTGCGGTGGCTGGGCAACCGGTTGCCGTGCAACGTGTCGCGGGTTCGATTCCCGCACGGGACAACACTTTGTGTGATCCACAAATTGTTGTTTCGGGTCTGGGTGTCATTGTGTATGTGAAATTGTATGTTTGTAAACGCACCCACGGCACAGGAGAAAATCCTAGTGTGAGGCAACGTTTTTTTAAAAAAAGAAAAAAAATAGAAATTGAATACTTAAACATAGTACGGAAATTATCCGTTCGAAAATTATCCGTACTTATGGATAATCCCAATAATAGTTTGGCTGACCCAGGAATCGTACCTGACCCTTTGGTGGCAGTCATACTTGCAACGACACAACTGACGAGAACAACACAGTCCTTTTTCAAGGAGTTGTAGGTTGGTGCACATAAATGTAATACTATGTATATCCCCAAGTGGTCACCGGTGACCGCTCTCCACTAACTATAGTATAGACCTTATTTCCGATGTTTAGGGACTACTTTTGTATGAACAAATTTAGGGTACGATATTTCATCAGATTTTATGTCTTAAAACATGTACAATTTCAACTAATAGATAAAATTAAATTCGATTCATTGACGCTGCCCATGGGCCCCTGTTACGACTTAAAACTACTCTGACTGCACAGTTGGTGCGGTGGCTGGGCAACTGGCTACCGTGCAACGTGTCGCGGGTACGATACGATTCGCGCACGGAACTACTCTGTATGATCCACGAATTGTTGGTCTGGGTCTGGGTGTCATGTGTGTGTGAACTTGTGACACAGGAGAAAATCCTGGTACGGGGCAACGTTTTTTATTTTAAATATCGTCGAGCAAATACACTATTGTTATCTAAGAGAAAATCTTCTACTTTTCCAGAAGCAACAGCACAAGCAACAGTACCAGCAACAGTACGAGCAACAGCACCAACAGTAGCACCATGAAGAAGAACGTCCGCGGCCGCGGCCCTCCGATCAGGTCGCCGGTGGTACTGCCATCACCACAGGAACCCGCCAGGCAACGCTGCCCTGTACGCGGCTGTGACTCTAGCGGACATTTGGGTGAGGTTACTGTCTAGTGCATGCGATATACATGTTTAGTCCATGACTGCCTCGTTGGCCGAGTGGTCGCCAGTGCGTCTGCCGAGCTAGGGGTCTCGGGTTCGATTCCCGGGTCGGGCAAAGTATTACTGGGTTTTTAAAAATTTGAGAATTTTTAATCTCTCAAGGGCTATGGTAATAGGCTCACCCCCTATTACATGGGACTCATAACATAAATAGTGAAAAGTGGGTGTTACATTGTACAGTGGCATAATGTTCACCTCTGCCTACCCCTTCGGGGATAAAAGGTGTGATGTTATGTTTAGTCCATTTGAACTGACATAGAGCATGCGAATATTATTATAGTTAAGGTACAATCGTTGTGAGAATGTTATTTTTGAGAAACATCTACGCAAACAAGTATTTTAGACTACTGCTGATGCCCAATTGAGTCTAATCAGTGCCTTTAGCCAAACGCCATTTTAGCGCTTGTCTAACGAGAGAGTAGAAAACTAAATGTATGGAAATGACACTGACAAGTGTCAAAATTTACGTCAATTCCATATAATTTGGTTTTCTATTCAACATGTAGACAAGCGCCTTTTGGTTTCATTACAGCTGCAGAATAGAATTTATGATTTTTGTGTTCTATGTTTGAAGGTAAACTGCTTTTATTGTATTAGCCATTCTAGGGGAACTAATTTTCGTTATTTTTTTTATTCATCTCTTGACTTGTTATCTCTTTCGCCAACTTTTGTAACTTGACTTGTTTTTGAGGAAAACACTCTAAATAGAAGTAAGTAGTGTTACAATACTCTTTCTTTAACTCGTCGAGTCATTATAGACACAATTAAAGAACACAAACAAAGAGTTTCCTTTTCTTGTATAGAAGCACCGTGTTGGACTTCAAGATTTTTATATATTTTATTAATTTTAGTAAGTTATTAGTATAATTCGTCAAGCATGTCTTTGCATTGTTCTTACATATGCGTATAGTATTGAAATATGTATCAGAGACATTGTAGAACATACTTTTTTTAAAAAGAGTAACGAATGGAGTTTCTTGCTCGTTCTTCTCCATTCGAATCTACTTTTTGGAATGAGCACCTAGCTTCACCTAGCTTCACTGACGGACTGACTGAGAGACTATTTTGTTTTGTATTTGTTGAGGTTTCAAAAGTACCAAATTATGGTTTATTTGAAATAAATGCTTTTTAAAAAAGTATGTTTTACGATGTCTCTGGTACATATTCCAATACTGTACGTATATGTGAGAACAATGCAAAGACACGCTTGACGCATTATACTATTACAAAACTTATTAATAGTGAAACAATTATGCACTCGAAGAATGGAGCTGTTTACGTCGTCAAGAATATTCGCACGTCGATCTATTTTAAAAATTAATGATGTATCATCTGCAAAAAGCATCATTATGGTTTATTCTTGAATATAAATGGCAAATCATTTATTTAGACTAAAAAGAGAAAGGGACCCAATATTGAACCTTGAGGAACGCCCATATTTATCCTAGAGCCCTGTGAGTTAATACCGTTAACATGAACCTTAAACTGTCTTTCTTCTAAATAAGATCTCATAAGACGGAGCGCAGAGTTTCTTATCCCGTAGTGATCTAATTTTAGTAAAAGTGTATCGTGGCCAACGCAGTCAAATGCTTTTGAGAGGTCACAAAACACACCAATAGCATCCTGTGCTTCCTCCCAAGCACCAAATATTTCGTTCATCAAAGTGACACGCTGGGCAAGGGGCTTCGGGTTCGATTCCCGGGTTGGGTGAAGTATTAATGGGTTAGTCAGTAGTGGTACAAATAGTGAAAAGCGGGTGTTACATTGGACAGTGGTCTTAAGCGGTGTAGTGTGCACTTCTGCCTACTCGTTTTGGGATAAAAGGAGTGATGTTATGGTGGTTGTGAATGTGCAGGCGGTAAGTCCGCAAAGCACATGACGTGGGACGCGTGCCCGGTGTACCACAACGTGACGGCGGCGTGGTGCGTGGCGGCGGGCGAGGAGCGCGCCGCCGCCGCCGCCGCGCGCCGCCGCGCCACCGCGCTGCTGCAGGCGCGGCCCCGCGCCATGCCCACGCTCGAGCAGCGCGCTTACCAGCTCAAAGTTAAGGTACGATACCCTTACTATATATTTAGTCTTTAACTAGCGACCCGCCCCGGCTTCGCTCGGGTGCAATATGCATGTATTATACATATAAACCTTCCTCTTGAATCACTTTATCTATTGAAAAAACCGCATCAAAATCCGTTGCGTAGTTTCAAAGATTTAAGCATACCAAGTATGCTTAAATCTTAGCATACAAAGTATGCTTAAATCTTAGACAGAGAAAGCGACTTTGTTTTATACTATGAGGACAGAGAAAACGACTCTGTTTTATACTATGTACACAGTTTGTTACACAATGCCATATAAAGCGAACTTAATTCGATATGGCATTCTCTACCAGTCAATCTTAAGGTTTAAGTAGAACCCGGTTAATGCCCTCGGGTTACCAGGACTTTTGACTCGAAGCAAGAATAGGATCAGGGTGGGTTCATTTCAGCGGTGGTCATTAAGATTCTGACACTTTCTCTTACCTCATCCAAAGCGGAAGAAGTCATTCAATGATTTTCCCCCCACATAAAAGTGAACACGAAAGACATATTATAATTTATTATTGAATATTCGCGTGCAACACCATGCTTTGATACCATCGGTTGGAGTGATATCACATCCCCGCAGAAAACTGGCGTGAAACAACGATAACGTTGTGTGTATAGGTACACGTGAAGCCCTCCTAATAGGTCGGTAACGTACATATGCCTCCTCAGATAGTGCTAACATCTGTGAGCAATGCCAGTTCCTTACGATTAGAAAGTGAATTGTTGGCTCATTTGCCGCCTTATCTCGTAGGAACACTCATAATAATAGGTGTAAGTAGTTGTACAGCCAAAATAATTTAGTAAACCAAGCGAGTAGAGAGCATACTCAAAATTGGTTCTTAGTATGAATCTACACCCAAAACAAAATTCCGACAAAAAATAGACAGATGTGAAAAAAGATCTATCCTTTTTTTACTCAAAAATAAACTCTATTTCACAGGACATGCGCTCAAAATGGAAAGGCAGTCAAGAGTTACGAGAAAAGCTAGCCGCATCAGGTAATGAAGAGATCACGGAAGACAGAGAACCAATACTTGAAGGTTTTGCCCCAGATTACGACCTGAGACTCTTCAGAGAAGCTCAGGCCTTGGCCGCCATCAAAATTGAAGAGGAACTCGGTGATATACCTACTGATAAAGGCACAAGGTATGTTTTTGAGTACATAATATTATTATTTTTTGGAAGGAAAAAAATAATAATATTATATAATTCACCTTATTGTTTAAGAAAGAAGGAAAGTTTAAAAAAATTGGTCTTAGTTTTTTTTTTAAAGAATGATCTCCTTGATTTGCTAAATCGACTTTTCATGTCACTTTAAACTAGTTTTTTTAAGGTTAATCATCTGATATTGAGTTATTTAGTTACACATTTAATCCCACACAATTGTATCTTTGTCGATAGTTTATTTAAGTTGAATACTGTTTTTTAAGATATTAGATAACATTATTGCATTAGTAAAGTCCATGATCTGATAACACGGTTGGTGCGGTGGCTGGGCAACCGGCTGCCGCAGCCCGTGTCGCTGGTTCCATTCCCACACGGAGCAACTTTTTGTGTGATCCACACATTGTTGTTTCGTGTCTGAGTGTCATATGTATGTGAACTTGTATGTTTGTAAACGCACGACACAGGAGAAAATCCTAGTGTGTTTTTAATAAAAAAAAATGTTAATTTTACAAACAAATGTTTTCAATAGATACCTACATCGTCGTTGCCTTGTGAATGTATACATATTTATTTTGCTTACTTGCTGACCGCGTGTGTTCCGTAGATACGTGGTGATGGGTAAGTACATGATGGAGGTATGGTACCAGTCCCCGTACCCCGGCGACGCGGCGCGAGTGCCGCGCCTGTTCGTGTGCGAGTTCTGCCTCAACCACCACAAGAGCGCCACCGGCGCCACGCGACACAAGGCCAAGTGCGTCTGGAGGCACCCGCCCGGGGACGAGGTCAGTTTTATTTTTTACTTCACTACATAGTATAAAACAAAGTCGCTATCCGCCGTCTGTCTGTCCCTATGTATGCTTAGATCTTTAAAACTACGCTACGGATTTTGATGCGGTTTTTAATAGACTGTTATATATTTAATAGGTAGACTGCTTCGTTGGCCGAATGGTCGCAAGTGCGACTGTTGGGCAAGGGGTCTCGGTTTCGATTCCTGGGTCGGGCAAAGTATTACTGGGTTTTTAAAAAATTCTCAGTAATAACACGGAGTTTGGAATTGTGCCCGGCATATCGCAATAGGCTCACCCCCTATTACATGGGACTCATATAGTGAAAACTGGGTGTTACATTGTACCATAACATAATGTGCACCTCTGCCTACCCCCTTCGGGGATAAAAAGCGTGATGTTATGTTATGTTTTTCATAGATAAATGATTCTTGGATGGTTTATATGTATAATACATGCATATTGCTCCCGTGCGAAGCCGAGGCGGATCACTAGTACTTTAATAAATACCTTTTTTTGGGGCCGAAAAATCAATCATCAAATAACTTCTTCTGCTCTGAGTAAGATATGAGGGAGTTTCAGACCATTACTGACTAAAATCCCTTCAACCTATTGCTCCGAGCTGGGGTACTGGTAACTATACTGCGACCTACCCGTGACACGGTTGGACACAGATCCTTAGATAAACCTTTCTGTACTTCTAAACTGAAATAGAAATTAACGAACCGACACGTCTTACTAGTAACACTAATCTGGATAATTTCACACACAACACAAAACAAAGATGTCATGCACAAGTAATAGACTTTGGATTGTAACATCACACAGATCAAATAATTAAGATAAAAGTAAATAAAATTAATATCACCTTATTGTAAATACCTGCATTTTGAGCCAATAAGTAATTATTCTATTCTATTTTATTCTATTCTGTTAGTAGTAACAAAGCTACCGGCTTGCTCGATGGTACACAGACACAATAGCTTAAATACTCTTAAAACATTACTGGTATCACAGTGTGCTACGAATTATGAATCGTCGTTTAAGAGACGGAGTCCACGAAAATAATTTAGCAGTCAAACGCTCGGCCACGTCATCGCTTACCACCAGGCGAGACGGTAGCCATGCACCACATCATTTTTCGCTGAATTTGGACATATCCCAGTTATATTCATTTTGTCCCCAGATATATAGAAAAGACAATCTAAGCGTATGGCAGGTAGACGGTCGCAAACACAAGCAGTACTGCCAGCAGCTCTGTCTACTGGCGAAGTTCTTCCTCGACCACAAGACGTTGTACTACGATGTTGAACCATTCCTCTTCTACGTCATGACCAATGCTGACCATGAGGGATGTCATATCGTCGGGTATTTTAGTAAGGTAAGTCTAGCTTTTAATCTTTACTTATTTTAAGTGTGGGAGAGCCATGCTTCGGCACGAATGGGCCGGCTCTACCGAAGTGATACCACAGCCTCACAGAAAACCGACGTGAAGCAACGCTTGCGTTGTGTTTCGTCGTGTGAGTGAGGTTACCGGAGGCCCAATTACCCTCCCCTTCCCCAATCTCCCCAATGCCTGAATCCCCAACTATCCTCAAACTCCTAATCCCCAAAAAGCCGGTAACGCACTTGTAACGCCTCTAGTGTTCCAGGTGTCCATGTGCGACGCCGATTGCTTACCATCAGGTGATCCGTCTGCTCGTTTACCGGCTTATGCCATAAAAAAAACTACTGCCTCGTTGGCCGAGTGGTCGCAAGTGCGATTGCCAGGCAAGGCGTCTCGCTCGATTACTAGGACGGGCAAAGTACTACTGGGTTTTAAAAAAAAATCTCAGTAGTAGCGTGGAGTCTGGAATTGTGTCTGGTATATGACAATAGACTCACCCCTATTACATGGGACTCATAACATAAATAGCGAAAAGTAGATGTTACTTGTACAGTAGCAGTAAGTGACGTAGGTAATGTGCACCTATGCCTACCCCTTCGCGGATAATAAGCGAGATATTATGTTATTTAAACTATTACAGGGAATCTAAAACTAGCCAAATTATATCCATTGCATCGCTGGTCCACTGCGACTGATCTACAAAGGTTTCAAATAGTTGGACGAGTACAACTTTATATTATACGGTATTTTTAATTGTCAACATTAGCACGTAGTTTTAATTTAGGCCCAGGCAATAAGATTGGCCACAGTTGTAACAGATTTTTTTATACAATACTGCAAGTCTACATCAGGGTGCTTACTCTTGAAACCAATCATATTATTTCATATTTGTTGACGTTTCAAAAGTACAAAATTATGGTTTAATTGAAATAAATGCATTTGAGTTTGAGTTTGAAAAATCTCAATGTCAGTGCAATTTCAATCCAATAATTATTCAATGTCAAAACTATACAACCCCTATCGTAGCTATTAGTATTAAAATAGCATCCAGAGTACGGAATATAAAGCCAGACTCAATACCATTTAGTTCACTCAATATCCACGCAATACGGATGTAATGGGCGCTAGGGTTGCATCTCGAGAGTACGAAATTTCACAATAGCAATGTCGATCGATCGGAATTGGATTCAAGAGTAAGCCCCTCAATCTTTTTCCAGCAGGTAATTTTCTATGACATCAGAATTATTAATATGAACACCAAAATTATCCTAGGACAGGATCATTTCTGTGTGTATTCGCTTTATACTCAATAGATGGCGGTAGTAGCACGCAAGTCCTCATCGTCCCTCGGTTGTAACTGTAGAAAAGTTATATCAAGTGTCGCAGGTTCGGTGTCTAAAAGTAACGTGATAGTAAAAGATAAACTATTCTTTGTTTTTAAACAAAAAAAAACTAGGTCTACATACATACGGAACACCACGCCTTTTATCCCCGAAGAGGTAGACAGAGGTGCACATCAGGCCTGCCGTAATGTCCGTAAAGCCGTTTCCTCAGCCACCGCACTAAGGTGGTCGTCTTGTGAGGTTGTTTCTTTATTTGTTTGTTATAATGCGCAAACCTCCGAAACCACTGGTCCGAATTGAATAATTCTTGTTCGATAGTCCATTTATCGAGGTAGGCTATAGGATATAAAACGTCATGCTACGACCAATAGGAGCCCAGTAGAGGGGTGAAACCGCGCCTTGAAGTGAGCAACTAAATGATTTTAACTTTGATTTTGACTTGAGAGGTTTTCTATTATTTCCATTCTTACCATGCGGGTTACAGATCGTTGTTTAGAGGTTTATCAGAGACCACTTTGACATGACCTCTCTCAAATGTGTAGTTCCTTAGTTTGCTCGGACGATATCCACAGGAACACACTCAAGTTGGCAACAGATATTGCTATTCTACTGGCGCTACAAACATTATTTTACAATTGCGATAACGGTGCGGTTTCACCCGCTCTGCTCGATTCTTATTAATCTTAGTGTAATCGTAGTGACTATCCAACACAAAAATAATCATTAAAATTGGACCAGTAATTCCAAAGATTAGTGCGTTAAAACAAAGAAAGAAACAAGCTCTTTAGCTTTATAAATTATTAATTAATTAATATTGTGCAAAGAACATAGAAAAATTATACACACATCAACAGCTTATAAGTACCCACTGCTGAGCAAAGCCTCTTCTCACACGGAGAAGGTTTCAGCATTAATCACCACGCTTGCTCAATGCGGTTTCAAACTTATAATTATAAATAATAAGCCTAGGTTTCCGCACGATGGGCTCGCTGTCATTACAGTGGTAAGTCCCCTCTTTGAGGAGTGGCTTGAGAGACGCTACGGCGTCCTCACCTACCGCCTGACGCAGGTGCTTACCGGGCACGGGAGTTTCGGTAGGTTCCTGTTTCGAATTGGGCAGGAGGAAACGCCCGGGTGTCATCATGCTAGCTAAGCGAAGCAGTCATGCTAGCTAAGGAGGAGGTGGAGCGTGTGAGGGAACGAACCTCCTCACGACCCGGCCGTCGCGAGAGACACTCCGGGCGTCGGGGATCGCGAGACGATCTCCGGCCACCGTAAGCACGGGTCTGCGGACGGCGAGCATGGGTGACTCGCCGCCCGACCAGAACCAGGCCCGAGCATACGGCGCGTCGCGTTCCGCGCGCGCCTCAAGGTGCCATCAGATGGGGCCTCACAGGGCTGATGCCGATACGGAGCCGCGGAAGGCTTAACGGGTTGCCGGGGCTCCGGCTCGAAGTGCAGGAGTAGGAACAGGGTGGTTTTTAGTCAGTAAGAGTCTGACACTCCCTCCCACCTCACCCTGGCGGGAGAAGTCATTGGACGATTTTCCCCCCTCAAAAAAAAAAGGTTTCCTCATGATGTTTTCCTTCACTCTTTGTCAGTGGTGTCTGAATAATCTTAGATAGTACATATATCTCCTAAAAAGTCACACTGGTAAGCCTCATGCATGAGAAAAGAGGCTTCCAAAAGGCCAGTAACACACTTGTAACGCCTCTGGTGTTCCAGGTGTCCATGGGCGACACCGATTGCTTACCATCAGGTGATCCGTCTGCTCGATTACCGGCTTATGCCATATAATGAAAAAATAGGGTAGTAGACAGTGTATGAAAATTAAAATAGTAATTAGTCCGCCAGTTAGATAATTAAAATATAAGAGACATATTTTTTATTTTGTCGTATAAGAAAACAACACTTACATAAAACGGAGTTAAGTTTAGAAGTGGGAAGTCGTTACACTACGCTACCCTATAAAATGTAGTAAATCGTCACACGATATTTGAAATCTAAATCGTCGAAAGTATTTAATTTTGTAAGAAAAGAAAACACACGTGTCTAATGCTTTAAAAGAATCTGCCAGACGGACATTCAAATAAAAATTAGGATACTACCCTATTAATAGTAATAATAAAGCCTATTTATATCAGACAACCTTAAATAACATTTTCTCTTATAAAATAAATACATAACATAAAATCACGCCTTTTATCCCCGAAGGGGTAGACAGAGGTGCACATTATGCCACTGTACAATGTAACACCCACTTTTCACTATTTATGTTATGAGTCCCATGTAACAGGGGGTAAACCTATTGCCATATACCGGGCACAATTCCAGACTCCGTGCTACTACTGAGATTTTTTTAAAAACCCAGTAATACTTTGACCGACCCTGGATTCGAACCCGAGACCCTTGCCCGGCAGTTGCACTTGCAACCACTCGGCCAACGAGGCAGTAAAATAAATAAAGGCCGACTACCTTGTTAAGTACGCATTAACTAAACCCACCCTTTTGCCACCCCACTCATCATTTGTAGCTACCATACGAATCCGAACACTCATCTCCAAACCATACAGAAATTACTCCCGACATTCAATCGATATGGTAAGGACCCACACTACCTAAATAAACCATACATCTGCCAGACAGACACTAATAACAATACATGCATCTCCTATCAAGCTTCAGACCTCATTGTATTGTAAACTTTATTTGCTAAGTTGTGAGGTTGAATATAGATTGAAGAGTTCTTCTAGCGGAGTGTAGATTCATCTGCTTCGTACACATGATGTATCGCAAACTGTCAAGTCGTTTTGTACCTTACTGGCAAAGGTGTAAAGTTAAATGTCGATTAATAGAATTTGGTTGGGTGTGTAGTTTAATCTGCTTGTTTTACATGTCTATGTACTCGATATGATATACACTTGGTTTGTGTAATCTGATTTAAAAGTACCACGGTAGATATTTTTTCATAGTTTTGATAAGCTTTTAGGGTATTGTAAAAGTTCCTTCGATGCTTGTGAAGGAAACGTAGTATATTTTGTTTGTTCGTGATAAATAAATATTGTACTGTCTTTAACTGCCGAAAATAACTGTTAAAGGCTAATCCTCCGCTAGCGTTGGTCATCGTTGTTAGAGACGGCATACAATGTGTAATCAATACAAAACTTATAATCTATGGCAAAAACAGTTCATTCCTGCCTTCCTTCAGTTATTCTTAAGATTGATCACTATAATAATTTTCATTACTATTTCACATTAAAACTTGTCATCCGTAATACAAACAAAGTAACAATCAATACAGACGCATAAATTACACATAAACTTAAAAGCGTTTATTTCAACTAAACCATAATTTGGTACTTTTGAAACGTAAACAAGTATAAAATAAATAATAGTTTGTCAGTTTGTTCGTCAGTGAAGGTAGGTGCTCGTTCCAAAATGTAGTTTCGAGTGGAGAAGGACGGGCAAGAAGCTCCACTCTTTTATATTGACATCAAAACCGCAACAAAGTCATTACCATATTTAACAATCATCAAAAATCCTATAACTCAAAAACCAAAAGAAAATTATTTCAACAACTTTCCGCATACAAACATGATCATAAATTGTACATAGTAGGTAAGTACATTGCTTGTAGAGTATAGTATACTA